AATTAATTTCTCCTGAAAAGAATGTTATTTATTATAATGAAATCTTGTGTTAAAAAATTCTAAATTTTCTTTTATACATGATTATATCATAATGAATTCATTAAACTGTTGCTGCTGCTGTTAAGATGATGAAATACAGTGTGTATTTCATAAACGAGATACATTAGGGTTAGAAATCCAGACGGACATGACATAATCAGTTTTAAAAAATCCTTTTTTACGAACTGTTCAAACTTGTATGGCCTTCACATCAAACTCTGACCTTGATGTTTCTATATATGCTAACATAACCAGACTGTCTCGTGCCCCCAGGGTGGAGAGTGGAAGCGGAGGTGGTACCTAGACCAGATAGTGCTGATGTAATTTTCATCTCTGCTAGAATCAATAAAAGTTTTAATGTTTTAGAGGGTTTTATCTTTAAGATCAAAATTGTTGCTAATGGACCAACTATAAGTGTTGTTCCAGCAATTCAATCGCTAAATTCATATTTTACTGGTATATTTATATATACATATCAAAATACTTGCATTTTCAGTTTCAAAAAAGAATTTAAATAACAATTGTTAATTCATTTGTATTCAGTTGTATTAATTTGGTATGATTACATGTGTATGCAGTGTCGTAGTCATTAATTTTAACTTCACTGAACCATTTGTTTATGTTGATTAAAGAAATGGCATGTGGGAGGATTTTTTATCCAGTTTTCGGGAGATTGAATGCATACCTAGAACATCATATAGTGATACTTCAGTTCAATTCATGAATACTAATGCCAACAGTCATTGATGAATTATGAAACTGTGATTGTGATTCAAATTAAAGCAATTCCTAAACATTGCAACGACGATCAACCAGTGCTTTGTTATAGAAAAGTTTGAACATAAGCAATGAATATTGAACCACTACGACAAGGCAAATTACTTTTTTTTTTTCAGTGTAAACTGAAATCTGCCTTACCAAGCATTTTCTTGCATATTTCAAAGTTTCAAATTTCAAATACACCTTTGATGATAAATTTGTGTTAAAATGTTCAATGTACATGTATGAATTAGGCAAATATGGTAAAGATGATGTTTTTACAAATGGAAGATATATATATCTTTGTATTCTCTCATTTTAAAGGAATGAAAAATAATACTTACGTAGCTAAAAAGAATTTAGGTGAAGCATTCGTTAATTTGGGTAATAAAAGAGACTTAAAATATCTGCATGATAGAGTCTGATACATCAATTACATAGATTTCCAAAACTCGGAATCATTGTTATATTTAACATTTTTGAATAACAGGTCTGCATTTGTATTGGTATGTATCATGATTGTACTGTGAAAGATCTACTGTCTTGTCACCAGTAAAACTGAATTTGTATCTTTAATATCAACATAGTATGTCAACACAAATTTTGAAATGTATTTGAATTTTCCTCTAATGAATACTTGTGATTAGTGCTAATCTTTATAAGAACAGGTCCCTGAGAGAACCTTGTCTGAATATTGCAACATCACTATTAATTAAACTGTCAGACCTTGAAAGCAATAATAATGTCATGTTACAATATCATAATGTGTTCCTAAAGGGATTGGAGATACAATTAGTGTTGAAATAGTGCAACATATGTAATAGTGTATTCTCTGACCAGGAAATTAGTAGTTGTTATGGCCATGGTGAGGTAAGTAATCTGGTGAGGCTTAATTCACACCAGTCACCATGGAAACAGGCTTTCAGTGCTCTTTTCGAAATGACGTCATTAATATGTCCATAATATGCCATCAGCTTCGGTTCTACTGACATAAAACACAATTTTTGGATCACTTTATGAATGCAGTATGTTTTAGTCTTGGCTATTGAGTTTTTAAAAAATATTATTAAATGTGAAGATCAGCCATAGTTGTCATTAATTTTCATAGTTAGGATCCCGGATGACCTATGGCAATCATATTTCTTCCATCTCCATGCACCATCTGCCATAAGCTTCTCACATTTTTCAGTCTTATCAGAGTTCAACAGGGCAGCCATGCAAGAAAGTATACCTGGTAAATGGGCTCTTTCTTTTATTGATCTTATTGAAACTGAAGTGATTAGAACTTATGTTGTGTACTATCAAAGAGCCTCTTTTATGTCAGTTTCATTTGGATATGTTTTGATTACAGATTGCCTTATTTTTGATGGATTTCTTTCAGCATGATCCCATTTTATGAGATTTGATGGCCATGTTATCTCATACTGAAAAAGACAGATTTCTATTTTCTGGAAAATTACTTAAATTGCATTTTGTAAAAGTATATCATAACTATAGAAGATCTGATTTGCATGCTGGACATGCTCTACTAATACATTAGGTTGTTTTGTAACAAATGTATTTATATCATTCATTCTTATTCATAATGTGTATACATTTTTATTTGATCTGTCTGCAGAGTATTGTTACTCAAACTGCTAAAAAAGATATAAAACCTTGTGAAACCTACCAGATGTTTCAAATTGAGACTTCCAAGATTTATTTTCAATAGAAAATAGTTTTGTTAAAGCCTATAAGTCTCGCATGTCATATATACTGTTCTACATATTTGAATGGTAGAATATCTGGTAATATATGATATCAGCATGTTGGGTCACCTTTGCTTTGAAGACAGATAGTTGGACCAAATGGTTATTGAAATGTAATATTTATACCGTATAAGTCCCGATCTCGTATCCATCATTTTAACTTGAAAACATTCCATTGGGGTGTGATGTATAAAAACACTTGGACATGTGTTATCTGATAAAATTATATCTCATATTGTCTTATGACATTTTTTTATATTTGTCTTATCCTCCAGAACCATAAGGTCATGAGTTTGCTATCAAAATCATAGTTTTGTTAAATTACTGACATTAAACTATAGATCTCACAGATCAAATGTGTCACAACTTGAACTTGTAGTCAGACTGCTTGACTTTAAGTTTTCTCTGGATGACCACCAACAAACTACGTTGTATTTGTAGTTGTATAGGAGGACATGGAGGGTTCCGAGCTTGCTTGTCTACCAGCTGATTAAACTTATAACATATCTAATTTTCACCTGCTTGGACAACCACAGATGTAGTTATTAAATATGTGTCTGTTTTGCTGGGTTCAACAGCTCATGAAAAGCTAGGATCATTTTGAGTTGATGTCTCCTTGTAGTAGCTGGTGACTACTTCATTGAACATCATATGGGAGGCCAATCACATGCTGTTTAAAGCAGGCGGGTAAAGTGTCTTGCCCATGGGCATGACCACCACAGCAAAGACTGTCTGTTTCTCAATTTCCCGTGTGCAGCAAAATATGAAAATCCACTATGAGAAGGGAGTGTCGAATCCCACACCTTGGATCTTCACCTGAAGTTTAGTAGGCGGCTGAGCTGTCGCTGGTGTTTTAGTACACAGCGCCTTCATGTGGATAATATGTTATTGATAAAGAAATGATGTCATTTAATGGTAGGATATTAACATATGTCAATTTCCCATCAAGCCAAATATCAATAACATTTGACAATCTATCAGAAGCAGGGTGATATCAGAGAAACTTTATTAGTGGTGTGTGCTTCTATAATGACCAGTAGCAATCGGATGAGAATCCATACCAACAACAAACCTGTTGTTTTGTACAGTGAATACTTAACAACGATCAAAGACATTCATGTTTTGGGGAATACCTTAAATGTGCTTTGTAAATTGAAAAAGAAACACTTGAATTCTGTTGTAACACATCAAGGATATTTAATAGTTTCCCATTGAATATTAATTAGACATTTTTCAGGAAATGTATGTTTCACCAGTGCGCAGCATGATAGTTCTGTCATATAAGCAGAATGAAATTTTATGAGAAACCATAGAATTTCACTTTTATTACATTTTAAAAGAAAGAAAAAATTAAAATAAGCAAACACCAATTAACAGATGTACAAATGAGTTCAAGTAGCTCATTCTTTGATGCCAGATAGTTACCTATATCACTTTCATGCTTGACAACAAAATGAAGCCTTTTTTTTAATAGACCACTTAATGTGGTATTCTACTATTTTATGTGGTTACATCATTAAAGTCACTTATAAAACTTTATTTAAATAACAAATAGGAGTAAACCTGAAATGTACACAGAAAAGATTTGATGTCAACGAACTTACAGTGTGTTCAACCTTTGCTTTAATTGTGTCAGAACTTGAAAATTTATGAATTTCAATATAGTGACTAGAAAGTACCATTCCAATTGGTCATATTATGAAAGTTGCACTGTTCCACAAGAAAAGTTCTGTCAACAATTGTGCTGATATAGCATTTCATGTATCTATTCATGTTCATCTCTGCAGTGTTGATACATGTATAAGTTGATTTCTTTTATTTTTTCATATGCCCAGTACTTATCTGGGTTAGGACATGACCATGATATACTTTTCAAAACCAAAGGGTTTACCATTTTGAAACTTCAAACACAATTAACTACCTATCAGAGAGTCAAAAGACCTAGAACTATGCTTCTTGTCTCATTGATGAATAATTATACAAATTGAGGATGAAACATTTTACTCAGCCTGTTGTGATATGTGACCTGAAAGTGTATAGAATAGTGTTTTTAAACTTTGTCTACAAATGACAAGTTCACATTTATATTTTGAATAAGAAATTGCATGAAACATCTCTGACTTTTAGCTCCCATTGTTAACATGGGCAAGATTTAATCCTACAAATATCCTTGAGGTTAGTTAATTAAAATTATATGCCATGTTCTTTTTATCCTTCCTTGGATGGTGTCTAAAGAGGGATGTTATGTGTAATACAAATTTTCACTGAATATTCATTTATGATTTCTTAAATTTCTGGTAGAAATAAGCCATCTTCTTTCAGGAAATGCATTTAGTTTTTCATTATCTCAATTTCATATGAAGTGTAATTTTATTTAGTTATCTATATTTTTGTTTATTCTCCAAACAAAAAGCGATTTAAACCAATTCCATTTTATTTATTTTCTTTTTGCAGAGAAATACAATTTCCTAGGAGAAGCTGTGAATCATCTAGTACGTCGACATTATCCTGAAATATTTAGAGAAGAAGTAAAAACTCCAGAGAAAAAAGGTAGTGTATTGTAATACAATTTTCAATACTACTTAAGCCTGTTTGCTTATGTTGTCTCAACATTCCAGCAATTTGTTTACATAGTTCCATGTTAGTTAATAATCCAGTATGAATGATGGAAATATTGTTTGATAATAAAAATTTGAAAATACATTTTACTTGCAGGGAAATCACCACATGTTCATTGATTACTAAGATCAATTTAAGTTTTATGTTCATAAGTGTTTCACCTGCATCATGGTTGATTATGAGGAACATTTCCCATGCCTGACCTTGAGGCTGCGGGACAAACTTCACTTCATTTGTCTATAATGTTTTAATCAATACACCACCAGGTGTTGGTTTACAAACATGAGATGTTATCAGTGCAGTTTTATTGATGGAGTAGAAAGTGCCAACAAGATTCTCAATTTATGACAAGGCTATAAAGTTTAAAATTGAAAACATGGAAAGATATTAAAGCCTGTTGAAGGTGTTCGATTACAACGTTGATAATAAGTAAGATATGTAAGATATTTACATCAACATCGTCTGACCACCCTAATTATGGTTATCAACAAACAAACATTAAAACAATATTTGTTTCAATCCTGTAAGAAAAACAGCATATATCGGAAATTGTGGTTACACTATCGCAGTTTAATAAGGATGAGTGGTTTGGAGGTTGAAGGTACTTAACTCATCTGAGTTTGAGATATTAGAGTAGCAGTTGACTCACATTCATGTGATTTTCGGCATTTGACTCAACTGTCATGGAATAAGGAGATTTTAAACCATTTGACATTGAGTTAAAAGTATACTTGTAGAGGATCTGAAACATATCTGCAAGTTCAAGTTGAAACTGCATTTTGCTTCAGACTGAGTTAAAATCAGGAGGACTGGATATCTGATTGGTATGAGATGAAAATTATGGGAGTTTACAAATAAGAGAAATATTTAATTCACCTGAATCAAAGTATGGAGGGAAGGGTATAGGGACTTTGGCTTTTTATTTGAATTATTGCACTGCCATTGGATACTCTTGTGTATACTGGTATACCTAGTGTTCACCTTAAGCACTGTATCAATTATGATCAATTGCATTGAATTGATACATGTCTAGTTTCTAGTAATATATCAATTTGAATTTCCTAGTGTGTATTGACCTTGTTTTGAAGCAGACAAAGAACACACATCCCTAAGGTATATAGATCAAATGTAATAACTAAGGGAGCTTGGATCGCTTAAGCCATTAATTACCAAGTTATTGTTATAACTATCAATAAATATCACATCAATACCGCATTAACATGAGATCAAAACTCTAATTCTCCACAAAGGTTCCGTAATACTTATCAGACTTCCATGTGATAAGATTGAACTTCTAATAATACCAAGGACTAGATTTTCATAAACAATAATCAATGCAGTTAACTTGATATTGAATGAATGAAGGCATCAGATCTGCTGTGTACAAAAGTTTTTCTTACATCACTGAGGTGCGACTTGACTTCAATATTTTAGTTATCAATGGACACAAGTAATGCATCGTTTCTTTGAAGTACCTTCAATATATAACATATTGATTCTCTGTTAAGCTTTTACTGATCAAAGAACAATGAATCTTTTCTCCTCTTTGTTTTACTAAATCATTAGAGCTTTTCATAGAACAAAGACGATTACATTTCATCTGACTAATGAGACTAGAGTTGTCATGGTTTTAGAAGCTTTAAAATGTACTCTTGATTATAAAGCAAACCAGGCAACATTTCACGCTTTGGTATTTGGAAAGAAACTAAGGGTGAACATGTTTGTGTGAAATGGACTAAAGAATTGTGAATCGTTAGTGGATATGGACATTAAATGTTCTGGATAGATGATAAAAACTGGGGATTAGTATATGACCTTAAATGGTTTCTTGTTTTTGCACTAATTAAAGGGAGATAACAGGGATCGCTGTGACCCTTTATATTTTCATTCTGGGGACTAGAACATCACAGGGGTAAATAAATGTATATAAATACATTGTTTGTAATTCACTGTTGGTTGATGTTTTTTTCACTCTCAGATGTTGATGCTGTAATATCAGAAGACCAAGCTATTGACAAAGAAGTTTTATTGGACACAAAAAATACAGCTTCCGAAACACCTGACAATACACCCGCATTGTCCAAGGATGTCAAGGAAAATGAAAAACCTGTGTCTGAAGAGTCAAAACCCTCTGAACAACCCACACCTGAGGCTTCAGCACTCGTCCACAACAAGGAAGAGGAGAAGAGTAGTATTATTGGCATTCCCCGCACAGATTTCTTATTTATAAGTAAGACATTTTGTAACTCTCTTAATTAAATATATACACAACTAAATCGTTGTAGTACAAAGGCATCATATGATAATAATTAAAGATTTTCCATTCACAAAACTTTCTTTTTCCAACATCAATATGTTGCTATTTTTTCTGTCCGATTTTTAAGCTACCCTCCCTATCTTAATGATGATGATGATGCTGATGATGATGATGATGATGATGATGATGATGATGATGATGATGATGATGATCTTAAGATTTATCTATAATCCATTTATCAATGCATTTCTGCCCATTTTTTCAGAAAAATCATGAGATCCTTCCTGAATTGTGTCCACTTGTTCTCAGTATAGGCGTTACTCACAATATTTTTTATTCGCTAATGTACAAAAGAAATGTACAGAACAAAATGGCAGGGTAAAGTTACTGCTGTTTTCTAGAAATAATTTTCATGCATCAACTTATTGATATTGATTCAAAACATTTCACATGACAGAATATGATATAGAAGAATGTTTTACACATCTGGATGTGAAACAGAATTATATGTGGAAACCAGAGAACTACTGCAAGTATATGTGTTGACTAATATAATGTACCTATAATGGATGTATAATTTAATCATAGCTGTTATCTGAACTTCAATATATATTCTGAAAGAAGCAAACTTGTTTTTAACATGCCGAGATAGATCAAGACTCACTCTTATGATATATATGATGTGCATTTTTGTAATTCATTCTTGTGTTGGTAAGCTTTAGCTAATAGAATCAAAATAAATCACTGACAAGGAGATTTATTAGCACACAAAATCTTGGTAACAGAATGTCTGATATTGTAACTACAAAGCATTCAATAACACTAGATACAGTTGTTACAAAGTCTTGTCAATTGATTTTGCATAACATCAATGGCATCCTAATGGATTTTCCATTTTAGCTCTAACAAAAATTGGTTAAGTATGGAAATTTCTTTTGTGTGTATTGATAAATTCACCTTCCCAAAGACAATTTGTCAGAAAGAAATGTCATTTCCAATACAATCAGTGTAATGAATTCTTCCTGACAACATATTTTGTAATGGCTCTGATGTGCATCTACTATTTAGGGTGTTAGTGGGTTAGGGCAAGACTACCTGTTCAGATAACTTTTAGTTGTCCCTGTTTACTCAAACTTCACTTGTACCTATTGAAATATTCCAGTTTGCGTCTTAATTTTTAGGCTTTAATTCATCCTTGGTAGAACATTTCAGTTACCTGATATATGACAGTAGTAAATAGAAAGACACTGTGTTCAATTGACAATATTGTGAATATTTGATATTATGACTTTCTATGCTGATCAAAATTGTGTCATGTTATAGATTTGTATATAAAATTAATAAAATTTCCTTTGAGATAAAAAAAAAAATAAAATTTGGCAAAATGGTCATGACTTTGAAATCAAAAGTATGATACACAAATATACTTGTAAATACAAAGAATTTCAAATCATTGTTTAGTAGACATGACTCTCTTCCTCAACTGCATTTCTTCTTCAGTGTTGATATGTATGATTTTTCGTTTCAGCAATAACAACAGGATGCAGTTTAGCTGCTTTTATAGGACTGATCGTAGCTGGGGTTTGCTGGTACAAGTAAGTACAATTTAACATAGTAAAAAGTTGAATTAGGTTTGCTGGTACAATTAAGCACAGACTAACACAGGAAAAAGTTGAGTTAGGTTTGCTGGTACAAGTAAGTACAATTTAACATAGTAAAAAGTTGAATTAGGTTTGCTGGTACAATTAAGCACAGACTAACACAGGAAAAAGTTGAATTAGGTTTGCTGGTACAAATAAGTACAGACTAACACAGGAAAAAGTTGAATTAGGTTTGCTGGTACAAGTAAGTACAGACTAACACATGAAAAAGTTGAGTTAGGTTTGCTGGTACAATTAAGCACAGACTAACACAGGAAAAAGTTGAATTAGGTTTGCTGGTACAAATAAGTACAGACTAACACAGGAAAAAGTTGAGTTAGGTTTGCTGGTACAAGTAAGTACAGACTAACACATGAAAAAATTGAGTTAGGTTTGCTGGTACACGTGAGTACAGTTACATGAAGATATTAATTGTCACAGAAGCTGAACATAGCACTACAGTTAACAGGACCACTGTGATCCTCCAATCAGTCTAAATGGGAATTCCTTGTAGACAAGTCATTAACACTTGATGTATAACTATCCTGAGTGTGTCCCTCTCTTTGAGCATATCCGGGATCTCAGCTTGACCTTGTGATAACAAGATCAGGAAGATTACACTCATTGCACAGTATTTGCCAAGAGTCTAACATTGTTGACTTGAAGCTCAATTCTTTACGGAAAGTTTCAACGGCAAGTTTCAAGACAGTTTGTCTCTCTGATACTTAGATTAAGGAAAATGCGATATTGCTTGGTCATCAAAATGCCTTTTTATGAGTGATTTTAGATACCAAGTTGTATTCATCAGAAGGTGTAATATTAATAGGTCAATATACATAGTTTTTGAATTCAGTGAACTGATGGAGGCCCAAGGGACTAATAATAGTGAGTCATCTCCCTATTCCTAGAAGACACAAACAAGTGAGGAGGGACTTATTTGGGGTGAAATACGGTCGTAACATGACACAGGACCATTAGTTGGTGTGACACAGGCTTGAGAAATCAATACATTGGCTTTGTGAATTCAGCCAGATTTCTGTCTTATGTCAACACGGGAATGACCTTTTTTGAACAGTCAAGGAATTACAGGTTTCTTGATGTGAGAGGTCAGTTGAGAAAGCTGTGATTTAGACTATGGCAGCAACATGGTAGAAGGTCACCATCATAACTAAAAATCTCCTACTGCACGAGATAAATACAATCCTCTCTATACCCAGCCAGAAAAGAACATAGCACTGTTTTATTATTTGTTGTCTCTTGTATTGAACGGAAGAAGATTGTGTTATTACTATCCATGGCTGTCTTATCACAGAAGAATTTCATCATTCTAGTGTCTTCATCCCTCAGAAGAATTTGATTAAAATTTGTACAGACTGTAGAGTTCAAATAACATAATACCTTCAATAGGTTTGTATTCCAGAGTTCTAAAGTTTAACTTTCTTTTAATAGAATTCTTTCAAAGAATGATATGACTTTGTATGGGAGTGAAGACATTCATATCTTACAGATGTCTTTACATGATTAAAATTATTTTGAAATATGTTTTCAATTTCCAAACATGACACCTTGGTATGATCAGTCTTTGAAGATCTGAAGACATGTCACTTTAATATCATCTTTGAGACTGATATTTCAATCTGCAGTGTTCAGATGATAAAGGCTCTAAAAACATAGTTTTCCTAGATCTTTGATAGTGATTGTGAAAGACAGATAATTGTTGGGTTGTGATCATAATGAGGCTGCCATTTCTTGTTGTGGGCTTGTACTTTTAAAAAAGATATAGAGCCTTGCCCTCCCACAGTGTAATATTGCATGGGCCAAATTCCAGCCTAAAGCAATAGAGCTGCGATTAGGCACATGCTGTACTTAAATGGATCTGTTGTGAAAAGATGATAAAACAAAACTGATGTTTATGAAATAGTGTGCCAATTAATCAAACTGCTACACATCAAGCCTGTTTGTCATTAGTGAAGTCTGTTTTTGGGCACTTCTAGTGTTACATACTTTGTACATTTTCACACATTGAGGCTGCACTGTATATCAAAGTGATTACGCTGTGCTGAGTAAATACTGTTCCAGTGCTGCCTTGACATAACCACTTCAGATTCATGGTAATTTCATCTCTTCATTTCCACTATAGAGCCTCTACAAATACAGATCAATAGTCAAGATTTCAGAGATAATCATGTATTTCCAAAAACACAGAATTGTTGGTTTCATTGCCATCAGTTGCTTTATGATGCTTTGCTTTGAGTCTGTAAAATGAGAAACAGGCAGACAGAAAACTGCAGTAGTTATGGAAACGTGGAAAACAGGAAGCAGTTTGTAAGACCTTGGTAAAAATAGTTTGGTGCTGCAATTCTGTTCTCATGTACATTGTATTTGTGGCATAAACAGTATTTGCATATACTATTTCTTTGGGGATGTTTTGATTTTTGAAAGAATTCAGAGGTTTACTTTCAGTATTTTATCATCAGAAATTTAAAGGTATATAGACTAAGCTGTTAGTGAATGTTTTAAGAATGTGGAAAAATTAGAAAAGCAATATATTGGAGCCCTCTGTTGTTGTATAGCGTTAATGTTAATATTGATTAGCATTTTTAGCTTGACAGGTAATTGAAAGTGATTGTTATTGGATTGCTAATTAATATAAGGGCCGTTTACTCTTTCACAATTTACAACACAGATACATAATGGCATTCCTCATTAACACACCCACACAGAGAACAGATGTATCTTGTCTCACAGCTAAGTAATTAGCAAGTCATGAATGATTTTCTGCGTGTCACTGTCACACATAACACACTCACTGGTATAGTGGTACAGAAGTGTAACCTTAAGCAAATTTCAATGTAAAATTTCTAGTGTGAAATTATCCATGTGTGATGTATTAAGTGAAAAAGTGACAACAAATGGGCCAATGTTATGAACAGTTTGTGATGTAAAAATATTTACCAGGTACCTTTCATAAAGCCAAGGATTGCAATACATTACCTGTGGAGCAAATTTACTACTGGCCCTTATATCTCTGTCTCTGTCTCAAGCTTATAACAGGAACTGATGTCTCTGTCTCAAGCTTATAACAGGAACTGATATCTCTGTCTCAAGCTTATAACAGGAACTGATGTATCTGTCTCTGTCTCTGTCTCAAGCTTATAACAGGAACTGATGTATCTGTCTCTGTCTCAAGCTTATAACAGGAACTGATGTATCTATCTCTGTCTCTGTCTCAAGTTTATAACAGGAACTGATGTCTCTGTCTCTGTCTCAAGCTTATAACAGGAACTGATGTCTCTGTCTCTGTCTCAAGCTTATAACAGGAACTGATATCCCTGTCTCTGTCTCAAGCTTATAACAGGAACTGATGTCTCTGTCTCAAGCTTATAACAGGAACTGATGTCTCTGTCTCAAGCTTATAACAGGAACTGATACTGATGTCTCTGTCTCAAGCTTATAACAGGAACTGATGTATCTGTCTCTGTCTCAAGCTTATAGCAGGAACTGATGTATCTGTCTCAAGCTTATAACAGGAACTGATGTCTCTGTCTCAAGCTTATAACACTTATAACAGGAACTGATGTATCTGTCTCAAGCTTATAACAGGAACTGATGTCTCTGTCTCAAGCTTATAACAGGAACTGATGTCTCTGTCTCTGTCTCAAGCTTATAACAGGAACTGATGTCTCTGTCTCAAGCTTATAACAGGAACTGATGTCTCTGTCTCAAGCTTATAACAGGAACTGATATCTTCGTATCACTGTCTCTGGCTCAAACTTACTACATACACTGATATCTATGTTTCAAGCTTATAACAGGAACTGATGTCTATGTTTCAAGCTTATTACAGGAACTGATATTTCTGTCTTTATCTCAAACTTACTACATACACTGATATCACTGTCTCTGACTCAAACTTACTACATACACTGATATTACTGTCTCTGACTCAAACTTACTACATACACTGATGTCACTGTCTCTGACTCAAACTTCCTACATACACTGATATCTCTGTCTCAAGCTTATAACAGGAACTGATGTCTATGTTTCAAGCTTATTACAGGAACTGATATTTCTGTCTTTATCTCAAACTTACTACATACACTGATATCTCTGTCTCTGACTCAAACTGATTACAGGGACTGGTATCTATCTTTCAAGCTTATAACAGGAACTGATGTCTCTGTCTTTATCTCAAACTTACTACATACACTGATATCACTGTCTCTGACTCAAACTTACTACATACACTGATATCACTGTCTCTGACTCAAACTTATTACAGGGACTGATATCTCTTTCTTTATCTCAAACTTACTACATACACTGATATCACTGTCTCTGACTCAAACTTATTACAGGGACTGATATCTCTGTCTTTATCTCAAACTTACTACATACACTGATATCACTGTCTCTGTCTCAAACTTACTACATACACTGATATCACTGTCTCTGACTCAAACTTACTACATACACTGATATCACTGTCTCTGACTCAAACTTATTACAGGGACTGATATCTCTTTCTTTATCTCAAACTTACTACATACACTGATATCACTGTCTCTGACTCAAACTTATTACAGGGACTGATATCTCTGTCTTTATCTCAAACTTACTACATACACTGATATCACTGTCTCAAACTTACTACATACACTGATATCACTGTCTCTGACTCAAACTTATTACAGGGACTGATATCTCTTTCTTTATCTCAAACTTACTACATACACTGATATCACTGTCTCAAACTTACTACATACACTGATATCACTGTCTCTGACTCAAACTTACTACATACACTGTTATCACTGTCTCTGACTCAAACCTATTACAACAAGTAAAGAGGTATGTTTAGGATTGTGTTTATCATATGGTAAATTAGTCATGGTAAAAATCCATTCTCATAACTTCTCACAATTTCCACGAAACATAAAACAAATTGCTAC